ACCCAAGGACAGAGATGGCCTCATTCATCTACTACTTAGGCAGAGGCACCAAGAGGCACAGTGACCATTTCTTGAATGAATGAATAACCCAGGTGGAATTTGGTCAAACCAGTGCTGTCAAAGATCCCTCTATTTGAGAAATTAGATGTGTCTAATACACTCTGAAGGTCATATTTTCCTGCAATGTTTATTTCATCCATCTGGGGCATTTTTCAAAAAGCATTCTTTTCTGTTTTCTTGTTCCCCCCTCTGACCTGGTTAGAGCCTCAAGGGGGAAATTCATGATGGGAAATGGCCACAAACATGAAAAGGATGTGCAGACAGTTACAATGATAAACACAGGACAAGCACACACAGAAAGGAATGAATGTTGACATTGCAAGAAGACGGGGTGAGTGGGGGAGGAGAAGTCTGCAGTTTCAAGGTCTTGGTAGAGGGTAGTTGCAATCTCGATTTCAAATTAATACAGTGTACCCCTTTAGCAATTCCTTGCTCAAGATTTTCTTTTGAAATCCCAGTTTTCCCATCTGTTTTGCAGTTTTCTCAGGATTTCCTCCTTTAAAGCTCATCTTCTTAACCATTTCAACAGAAATCTTCCCAAATCCCACATTTTAATGGCTCTGAGACTCAGGGTCTCAATCTATGATTGGTCAAGAAGGCAGCAGAGAGTAGTCTGGGAATCAAACATATTTAGAGTCAACTTCAAGATCTGCTTGTTATAAACAGTGGGACCTCTGTTAACTCCCCCACCCAACCAACTTTTTGTGTTGAAATTTTTCAAGCCAACTGAAAAGTTGCAAGGAATGAACAGCCAGAGATGAGGGTTTGGCAAGCATCAGTCTGAGGCCTGTTTTTTTGTGTGACCTGTGAGTGGTTTTTGCATTTCTAAGTAGATGGAAAAAATTTTAAAAAAAAGAAAAAATGTTTCATAACACATGAACTTTATAGGAAATTCAAGTATCGGGGTCCCTCAATAAAAGTTACCCACTTGTTTCTGCACTGCTTTTACTCTGTAATAAGAGCTGAGTGGTTGTCACAGACCCTGGTTTTCTAAGCCCAAAATACTTTTTGGCCCTTCGTAAAATACGTTTGCCAACCCCTGACCTAGACTTACCAATTGTTAATATTTTGTCCCGTTCGTTTTTTCTCTCTTGCTGAAACATTTGTCTTAGTTTTGAAACTTCACCCCCCAAATACTTTTGTGTTTGTTTCTTATACTGAAAGCTGGGTGAACAGGTTTAATGTGGGGAGAGACACAATGCTATAAAGTGTTCAGCACACAGTGCTTGGCACATAGACAGAACCTAATAAACAATGCAATAAAAATTCCTGGCATTTCTCACAGATGGAGTGGCCAAAACTCCCAAGCTGAGAATCCTGAGCCTCGTGAAGTGCTTTCGTGAAGCTTCAGTTGCCGCAGCTTAGAGGCCAGCTTTTCCTCTGAAAGAGCTTCTTACTGGAGGAGTGAAAAAAAAGCTCCAGGAAATCTCATTTTTTCCGTAGCTTGTGGCTTGGCTGACTCAACTTCTGCCTTTCCCTGAGTCACAAGTTTTTCCTCTTATTTGTAGGAGCGAGGCCCTCCACCCAGGTCTCCCCACCCATAGCCAGTCCCCGTTGGGAAGAGGGTGGACAGCTGCAGGATCCGTTTATGCTGCCTCCAGGGGATTTCCCAGAACTCCACTCAGATCCACAGAATGTCAATTGGAAAGGAGGATAGATGAGGAGACTGAGGCCCCAGTGGGCCCTGAACCACTAATGAGGGGTCTCCTGACTCCGGGACCCACAGGTATGCACCTTCCCTCTAGTTTTCCAGAATCATGAAAAGCTCGCCTTTTCTAGACACTCCCTCTGTGGCAGGCACAGTGTTAGATGCCACATACCATTATAAACAAGGTAGCCCTGTCTTCACAAGGGACCAACTCCCTCTATTCTCATGGCCACCTCCACCCCAGGCACCTTCACCTCTCCCTGAGGACACCCTTCCCTTGCAAATGAGGTGGGGAATCTGAGCACCGAGGCAGCTATCAAGCATGGCCTTGAAGGCTTAGCCTGAAGTCCCCTCCACACAAGCAGTGTGTACATTTGGGACAGCACATCCTCGTGTTTCAATGTCCCAACTACCCTCCTGGTGATAACCCAGGTTGTAGGATTTCAGACATTGTCTCTTTCTCCTCTGCATGGTGGACAGGTCCAGCGACATCACTAGGACTCATGAATTCAAATGCTTATTCACAGGGAGTACATGAGTGCGTAGAGCAGGCTGAGGGGGAAACCACAGAGGTTGGTAGGACTGTTGTGGATGGGGGAACACAAACCCCATCTGGGGACAGCTTGCTATGGAGATGACAACCAGCATTTTCAAACCCTCTCATTTTAGAGCAGATGGAAATCCTAATTTTTATGATTAAATCCTGAATTTTTAAATGTTTAAATATTTTGCAGGACAGAAAGAAAGGTTGTTAGATCAAGATCATCCCATGGTCTATCTACAACGCTATGGCTTCTTTTGGATGCTCAGTACAGGCTGCACTTGCTGATGAGGGTAATGGCAAGGATGGAGGGCAGGGGATAAATGAGGGAGCTCTCCAAGGCCACAGCTGGTGGCTTTCTCACTGCTTATCACCTCCTTTCCTCCTCTTTCTCTTGACCTTCTCCCTCTTCCTCCCCTTCCCACTTTCCCTTCTCTGGCCAGCACTGAGCCTACCTCACAGCCTCACCCAGATCTCCAGGGAGAGCGGGGCACCTTGCTCCTGCCTGCTAGCTGCCCTCAAGGATGGAGGCCCAGCTGAGAAGAGAGTCTGGACACAGCACCAAGGTCCTGGAGCCAGATCAGCTCTTTCTCCAACTGTCACCTCTTGCTCTTCTTCCAGGTGCCACGGCTCTGTCTTATTTGACAACACAAACTAGAGGGAAAGAACGGACATTGAGCCTTCCAACTAAGGGCTGAATCTCAGCCCCGGAGAGAGGAGTGAGCAAGGTGTCCCTGGGGCTCATAGCCAGGTAGGGAAGACAATCCACAAACATGTAAACAAGTGACCCAAAAACATGACTTCAGGTTGGAGAAAACAACAACAACAACAAAATAAACAAACACAGACAACTACCTGAGGTAGTGGAGGGTAATGGGTGAAGCAAGGAACTGCGCTGGGAGCCAGGGAAGCTTCTCTGAGGAGGTGCCAGTTTGAAGTAAGACCTGATAGAGGCAGAGGAAGTGCAAAGGTCCTTGGAGATGGGAGAACCTGAGGTTCTGAGGAACTGGAAGAAGCCAGTAGGAGGGGTGAGTGGGGAGGAGGCCACCAGCAGGCTGAGATATGTGCGGCTTGAGGCCTTGTCATTTCATTTTGAGTGTCTGCAGAGGCCAGGAAGCAGGATAAGCAAGGAGTGGCCTAACTTGCTAACGTTCAGCTGCGTGTGATGGGTACATGGAGACCACGATTCCTTCCTTCAATGTTTGAAATTTTCCACTATAAAAAAGTTGAATTTTTTTAAATGCTGCTGGTTTTTAATATTGTGATTATCTCTCAGGGTTACTGGGGAAAGACGACTATATACAAGCTTCGAAGCGCAGAGGACAACCTGCAGCATCATGATATTGCCCAGATGAGCTTCTCATTCTTGCCAGTGTCCCATCCCTCATGACCCAGCGATGAGGGCCCCTCTACATCCGGGCCAGGAGCCCTGGACTGAGTCTCCAGCAGGGTGCCAGCTGTCCAATTGTGGAGTGAGGCGACAAGAAGAAAGGGAAACTGGTGAAGTGGGGTGCAAACGGGGAAGCCAGCCCCCAAGACCCGCCTGCCGCGAGCGCTGACCGCAGACGAAGTTGCACACGTTTCTCGGGTACTCGCGCACATTTCTCGGAGACTCGCGCTGGCTCCGCCCTCGTCTGTGCTCCGTGGCTCCGATAGGTCGAGCTGCCCGCGAGAGGGCGTGTCAAGGGAGTTGGAACGCAAAGACGTGGGCAGCGCGGCAATTGGCCGGAGCTGGCCAGCCCAGTACAGCGGCAGAGAGGGGACTGGCTGGCCCGGCTGCTGGGCCATCTCGCTGCAGGGCGCGAGGCGTGGGGCGCGCGGAGCCCCTGGCCGAGGAGGTAAGCCTTCACCCAAACCCCGGCCCGGGTATGGCTTGCGGAGTAGGTGGGCTTTCCTCCAGTCGCCTTCACTCTGTTTGATTCCCTGGGCTGCTAAGTCCTGGTGGCTCCCGGGCTTAGGCGGGCGGGGCACGGCGCGCATCCAGGGCGCCTCGGACTCTGGCCAGGAGCAGAGGCTCACTGCTTGCTTGCAGGGCAGGGCTTGTAGCCTCTCCACAGTTGAGGGTGAGGGCAGGTAGAGTAAGGGGGGAGGGGGCGGCGTTGCGGGAGACATGAGAGTGGGGGCGTCCCAGCGCACCCTGGTACTGCAGGAAATCTCAGAACACCCGCCGTCTGGTAATGTTTTGCGAAGTTATGTCCTCCTGCCGCCTTTGCGGCCGCACTTCTTGACCTCGATCTGAGGGTTCAGGAGACGTGGCTGGGACTGCTACAGGGGTGGGGTGGGGGTGGGATGGGAGGAGAGCAGAGTGACAGTGCTTTGCAGACGGTCCGGGTTCTCGCTGGCCTCATATTTAGGAGACACCTGGCCCCTGACGGGTTTGAGTTTGTGACTCTTAGTGGGAATGTCAAAGGAAGTTATTGAGGCAGACCCACAGAGGCAGAAATGGCCTGGGGAGTCTGCTTTCCTTTCTGTGGAACACGTGAAGGATAGGGGAGATGTGTCACCAGCCCTCTTTGCGGGTGGGAAAACTGAAATTTGGAGTCACCCTGAAACTTTTTCTTCACTGCCGGAGGGAAAGGCTTTTGGAATTTGAACAAAGCTGTTATCTCACCAGTGGAGGGTGGAGGTCAAGATGGTGGAAGGACTAGTACTGGGGTCAGCCTCTGTTTGGCAGGTAATTCCCACTGACGTTTGTGTCAGCTGAGATGACTGACTTCAGCCTGCATCCGGCCTATCCTACCAGGGCTGCCAAGACAGGGACAGGGCAGCACAGCAGAGCAAAGGGACCTCTGCAAACAGACCCGTCCCAAGCAAGGAAAGAGGTTTTGCCAGTGCGTCCTGGAGGGTGGGACAACCCAACCAAGCTGATGAACCTTTTCAGGTGTGTGTGTGTGTGTGTGTGTGTGTGTGTTGAGAATGGAAAGGTCAGGCATCTGGAGAGGAGCCCCAGTCTCTGGACTTCAGGATTTCTGATTCTGTCTTGATTGAAAGCACCCTTCAGCAGTTCAGGGCTGTTTTGGCCACTTTTTAATTTGGGCTCCCTGGCCACTCACAAGGACTTTGGGCAGTGATGGTAGTGGGTGGTACTTCTCTAACTGGTCTTTTGTGAGGATTAAATAAGATAATACATGTAATGTGCTTAACTCGTGCTTGGCAAGCTGTGGGCACTGCGTAAATGGCACCTTCAGTTCATTTTCCTTATTACTAGTCTTTTCCTGGAGAACTTTCTAGAAAGCACAGGGCTGGACAAAGCTGAGGGGCACCCCCTCTGGAAGGAGAGGAAACTTGGATCTTGGGCCTCCTCTCATGCCCTTGGAGAAAAATCAAATCCTCACCTTGATCTGTGGGCCTGCAGGATGACCCCTGCTGGCCCTTGCCAGCCCCTGCGACCTTACATTTCACCCTGGCCCCATCGCTTCTTCCTCTGTGGCTCCCTTACTCTCCACCTTGAGCTGTTTCCTATAACTAGAAAACTCTTCTCAGATCTTTGACTTTGACTGGCTTCTTCCTTATATTCAGGTTGCAGTGAGGTAACTTCCTCACAGATCTTTCCTAATCCCCACCTGCCCCAGTCCCTCTGCAGAACCTTTTCTGCATAGCACTTAGCACTGGCTCTCAGAAAACACCTTGTGGAGTCACTTCTAGTCCGGCTTCCCCACCAGGAAGTACATTATTGAAGGGCCTGGTCTCTAACTCCCTGCTATAAGGGATGCCTAGTATAGTGCAGGGCACTTGTAAGATATCAGGAAACATCACAAAGTAATGTCAGGTGGGGTGGGCCTGACTGGGGCTGAGGTCCCTGGAGGGAAAGTGGGGCCCCAGTCAGGAAGCCCAGAGAAAAGACCAAAAGGCTACTACTTTCCAAGGTTTCGGGCCCTCAGACATCTCTCAGTAATCTCAAAAACTATATCCCAAGTGGGCAATAGGAGAAGACAGGTTCCATCAGGACAGAACCCAGTGTGGTTTGTCGGGTAGATCCTTGGAGTAGGTATGTTATGCATTTTATAGTATGTGGTGGTATAAATTAGAGAGAAGCGAACCTTTTCTATAAAGGTCCAGACAGTAAATATTTTTAGGTTTTGCAAGCCATACAGTGTGTTGCACATGGCTGTGTTCTAAAACAACTGTATTTGGAAAAGCTGCCAGAGGGCCAGATTTGGTATGGATTTTCAGTTCCCCATTTTAGATTTCTCATCACTCTTCAACTATCATGCACAGAGCGCTAGCCACACAGAATCCACAGCCATCCTGTGACTCTCAGGATGTGGCTCCCAAGCCTAGCACTCACTGTGAGCACCTTCAGCCCTTGTTAAAGTGGTGGGATCACAGAGCCCAGAGCCCTCACCCTTCTGAACCTCCAGGGACGATGTGGGTCTGCTCATTACCCTGTCTTCCAGACTCCCTGACCCTGCAACAGTGTCAGTCCCTCTGTCAGTGGCCTGGGTGCCAAGCTGGGGTTGGCACAAGTATTTTCCAAGGCCCAAATGCTGCCAGAAGGGTCCGTTTTCATTGTCTTCCTGAGGCAGATTTGTCCTAAGTGAATGGGACAGGACTCAGCTCTCTCCTCCTCTATCCTGAGGGTGGTTTACTTCTCTGGCAAGAACAATATAAAAGAGGATTTCCCATCTGACTCAGGGCTGCCTATTTACCAAGAAAAGCCTTCAGGCCACATCTAACCAGTGCATGAAGCTACTGTTGCATTAGGAGTGTCGGCAAATGTTGGGGAGCCACCAGGGAGGACATAGTCTGCCTGGTCCCCTGCCCAGCCTCGGACCCTCTGTAGGCTCACAGAGGAGAGGGGCATGAGACCCCTCTGGCTGCTGTGTTCAGTGTGTGGGGACAGGACAACTTGGGCCCAGGCCCCTTTCATCCAGCACCAGGTAATCCTGCCCTTCATGGCCCACATTTTGCTGCCAGCAGCTAGACACCTCCACCCACAGCTCTGCCCTCCCCGAGTACTGCTCTTCACTTCCTCCGTGGGCTGTGTCTGTGGGAGGTGGACCTGGGCAAGCCAGCCTCTGGAGTTCACCAATCCCCACAGGGCTGGGTAAGAGCCTCCTGTCCTCCAAGCTCAGAGCCACTCTGACTCCACGCTGAATGTGCTAGGCTTTGTTCTAGAGCGGTGGCAGGGTTCTGCTGGCACCAGACTTCTTGACACACCAGGGTACTGGGGGGGAATGTGGCCTTCCTTCTTCAGGGCTCCTGGCATCTCCCACAGATGCCCAGGTCCCCATGCTGTGCCATCTCCTTGCCAGACTCAGCCTAGTGTCCCGTTGAGAGGCCTGCCTGGCTCCACTCACTGTCTCCAGCCTGTAGAGCCCAGAACTTGATCCAGATGCTGCCTGTGATTTTATTCTTTTGAAGGACTTTAAAATTAAAATGAAAAAAAAAAAAAGAAGAAATGTTTCACTTTCTGGAATTGGTGGGTATTGGATTTCATCACATTTGTTGCTGCCTTTTTCTAACAAAATAAATAAAACACAGATAAAGGTAAAATCCTATGTGAGGACACCCCCACCTCATTCCTGGTCACATCTAGATCCCCTTCCCCAAGGTCATTTTCTCCTGGCCTTGGTTTTATTTTACCATCTTAATCACTTTTAAATGTGTGATTCTGTACTGTTAAATATATTTCCACTGTTGTGAAAAAAAATGAACTTTTTCATCTTTTAAAATTGAAACTCTGGCCCATCAGAAACTCCTACAATGCCCATGACCCCTGGCAACCGTTTTCTGTCTATCAATCTGACCACTTTAGATACTTCATCTAAGTGGAATCCTGCAATATTTGCTATCTTATCACTATCTTATTTCACTTCATATCTTCCAGATTCATTCATGCGGTAGCATGCATTAGAATTCCCTTCCTTTTTAAAGCCAAATAATATTCCATTATATGTATGGACCACGTTATGTTTACCCATTCATCTGCTGAGGGCACTTGGGTTGCTTCCACTTCTTGGTTATTATGAATGATGGTGTTGAGTATGAGAGTGAGATATTTCTTCAAGTCTCTGCTCTCGGTCCTTTTGGATAGAAACCCAGAAGTAGGATTCCTGGATCAGATGGTAATCCTATTTTTAATTTCTAGAGGAACCTCCATATTGTTTTCCATAGAGGCCACACCAGTCTGCATTCCCACCCACAGTGCACAGGGTTTCCAATTTCTCCACATCCTCACCACCACTTGTTATTATTTTTTTTAAATAGTAGCCATCCTAATGAGGCTCCCTACCATCTGTTTTTATTCCCATGCATTTCTTAAAAACTTTTTAGATGTTAAAGAAAACATTCGGCATTTGGCTTTTTGGGATTGGCTAAATAGTGGGATAGGAAGAGGAAGCATGGGTGGAATAGACTAGATAGGGCAGAGGGGTTGGAGGGGTAGGGAGGGGGCATGAGGTTATTAATGATGGTGGAATGTGATGATCATTATTATCCAAAGTACAGGTATAAAGACACGAATTGGTGTGAATATACTTTGTATACAATCAGAGATATGAAAAATTGTGCTCTATATGTGTAATAAGAATTGTAATGCATTCCTCTGTCATATATAAGTAAAAAAAAATAAATTAAAATTTTTTTAAAAAAGTAACTTGAGCATGTCTGGCAAAAAAAACAGTCAAACAACTTTTTAGATGTTATGCAGCTTCTGCACACCTGGTGTCCCATGATATATATATACTGTTCTGAAGGTTCCTTTTTCCCACTCTTTATGTGTTGCCATTAGCTCATTTTGATCTGCATATCCATTGTTTGGATAGACCTTGCTCATAAGGGACTTCAGTTGTCACTGCCACACACACTGTCCTTTTTGAGTCTCCCTCCTCTGCTCTATTCTGACTCATTTATGTAGAGAAATTATCCAAACCATCCCAGGGCTCCCAGCCCACAGCCTGATGGAACTTGGAGGTGGCACTCTGGAATGTTAAGAGATATGGTTCTTGTTTTGCAAAATTGTCCATCAGCCAGGGATCTGGTGCTCAGTCATGGCAGGATGGCTCAGAGTGTCACTGATAATCCACTAGGTTTGCAAACTAAAAATAGCAGTTCTTATATAAGGTGGTGTGGGCAGCACTTTTCAGGGCATCTTGTGACCTGAAGAGGCAAGTAAAACATGACTCAAGGGACCCAGCATTTTTTCTTGCACAATGCCTCCAGCCCCCATATTGAGGCCCTGCTCTGGATTCCCACAGGTGGTCTGACTTATAGAATTGCAGCTTGGTGACTCAGAAATAGTATGTTTGTGATCAGCAAGGCCAAGGACATGCATATGAGGTCATCTCTCATCTGCTTTCCCTGCAGTTGAATCACATGTGGTGGACTTCAGGAGCTTTAGAAAGGTTGAGTCATTTGCCACTCACTTATTGAGTACTTACTGTGTGCAAGGACACACTTCCAAGAATTGGTGACACAGCAGTAAACAAGAAAAGTCTTCTTATGGAGATAAAAATTAAGTGGGGGACACAGAAAATACATAAGCAAATAATGAATAGACAAGAAAAGACCAGGTCCTGATGTGGAGACAAAATAATAATAGTAATGATAATGATAATGGCATCAGTGAACTTTTTCTGTAAAAGGCCAGACGGTAAATATTTTAGGCTTTGTAACCATATGGTCTCTATCACCACTACTCAAATCAGTCATTGCAGCATAAGAGCTGCCATAGACCATGGCGGATAAATGAGCATGGCTGTGTTCCAATAAAACTTTATTTATAAAAACAGGCTGTGAACCAAATTTAACCCTCAGACCCCGGTCTTCCATTCCCTGTCCTTGGCTGGAGGAGAGGCTGTCTGAACTGGAGTTCAGGGAGAACCTTTCTGAAAGGGGGATAGGAACTAAGAGCTGGTCACAGGAAGAAGCTGATATGGTACGGTCTGTTCCAGACAGTAGCACCTTGCTGTCAATACAGTGGTAGCATTGTGTGCTGACTTGGCTGGATTTGCAAGATGAAGATGATGAGGCTCACTCATGGGTTGAATGCTCATGGTACAAAGGAGATTAAAGACTGAGTTCTAGACTTGGAGTTTGAAACACTGGTGAATGGTGGTTCCAACTATGAAGAAGAGCTGAGAGCAACAGGCTTTGGGGAAAACTGAGCTGAATTGGAGGAACTTATTAGATGGACAGGAGGAAATCCATGTTTATAACTCAGTCAAGAGGCCAGGACCAAAGGCTTGGCCTAGAGAGTGACAGCATTCAGCTGGTCTCCAAAGCTGTAAGTCTGGTGGGCTCAGAGGGAAGGTGTGTGAATGGAGCTGTGATGAGCTCCCAGGCCACCAACACTTACTGTTTGGTGCATGAGCACAGGGGCTCGGGTGGTCTTCATACCGCATGGTGGAAGGCTGGGTATGGTGCCAGATAAGTGGCCTCCTCACTTACTAGCAATCTGTTTCCCTTCTATAAAGGGAAAGGTAACCTACCTTCTAGGGTTTGTATAAGAACTGAGATAAAGTCATGATGCTTGGCATGGAGGGAGCTCTCAGCACCCGGTACCTGTAATAATGGTGGTAACCACTGAACACCCTGAATCAATGAGGCAGTTGCAGGTCTGTGATTGGTTGGGATCCCAAACACCATATGCCTGGGATGCATTGTTCCAGTATGTGTATCTGCATCCTTCCTGATGCCCTGGGAACAGCTGACAGGAGTTGGTCACTCTCCCAGGTTCTTAGTCTTTTGTCCCTGGGTAGACCCTATTGAAGCATGTTCACCCTATCTTCTAAGATCCCCCAGTAGGCACTAATCCTCCATTGCCCACAGCAGTAGCCTGCCGAGTAGCCCATTCATTGCTGCCTTTCATCCCTGACTGGCCTTTATAGTCCTCTTATTGGGGAATTCCTCTTCACCTCTGGATAATTTCTTTTCTTTCTTTTCTTCCCCCTCTTTTTTTGGTATCAGGAATTGAATCCAGGAGTGCTTAACTACTGAGCTACATCCCCAGCCCTCTTTTTACTTTTTATTTTGAGGTAGGGTCTTGCTAAGTTGCTTAGAAACTTGCTAAGTTGCTGAGACTGGCTTTGAACTTGTAATCCTCCTGCCTCAGCCTCTACTCCTCAGCTGGGATTACAGGTGTGAGCCATCAAATGCAGCTACCTCTGCATAATTTCTTATACTCCTCATATCAGGGCTGGCTTCTGGGGTGGTGAGTTTCTATGGTTGGGTGGCTAGACAGGTGGGCTTGCTGGGGCCCAGTAGGACAATAAGTTATCTGGTTTGATGAGTTGAGGGTGAGCAGTGTGGTTCTGATCCTCAGTACCCAAATACAGCTATGCCTGGGCATGCTGATGCCTCCTTGTCTGTCTCCTACAGCTGAGCCATTGGAGAAGATGGTGGACCACTTGGCCAACACAGAGATCAACAGCCAGCGGATCGCAGCAGTGGAGAGCTGCTTTGGAGCATCAGGGCAGCCACTGGCCCTGCCAGGCCGGGTGCTGCTAGGTGAGGGCGTGCTGACCAAGGAGTGCCGCAAGAAGGCCAAACCACGCATCTTCTTCCTCTTCAATGACATCCTGGTGTATGGCAGCATCGTGCTCAACAAGCGCAAGTACCGCAGTCAGCATATTATTCCACTGGAGGAGGTGACGTTGGAGCCACTGCCAGAGACCCTGCAGGCCAAGAACCGCTGGATGATCAAGACAGCCAAGAAGTCCTTTGTGGTGTCAGCTGCCTCCACTACAGAGCGCCAGGAGTGGATCAGTCACATTGAGGAGTGTGTGCGGCGGCAGCTGCTGGCCACAGGCCGCCAGCCCACCACAGAGCATGCAGCACCCTGGATCCCTGACAAGGCCACGGACATCTGCATGCGCTGCACACAGACACGCTTCTCGGCCCTTACCCGGCGCCACCACTGCCGCAAGTGTGGCTTCGTGGTCTGTGCTGAGTGCTCCCGAGAGCGCTTCCTGCTACCACGCCTCTCACCTAAGCCGCTGCGGGTCTGCAGCCTCTGCTACCGAGAGCTGGCTGCCCAGAAGCGGAAGGAAGAAGAGGCAGAACAGGACAGGGGCTCCCCAGGACAGCTGGCCCACCTGGGTGGGGCTTTCTGTGGAGCATCCAGTGGAGATGACGATGACTCCGATGAGGACAGGGAGGGCAGTAGGGATGGTGACTGGCCCAGCCACGTGGAGTTCTATACTTCAGGTGTCTCCTGGTCAGCCTTCCACAGCTGACCCTGGCCTGCAGAACTTTTGCATCCAAGCCAGCCCCATTGCTCAGGCCCCTAAGAGGTCAGTTCCTGAGCTGCCTGGCACCCTGGGACCTTGCCCCATGGTGGGCAGAGGTAGGGATGGCTCTTTCCCTCAGGATTCCCAGTGCCTTTTTGCTGGACATTGGCATTCCTTTAGGCCCACTCAGTTCTACTTTCCATTTAACAAGCCCCAGAACACTTAGACCTCTTAGGAATAAATGCCATTTTCAACTCTATGTGCTACAGCTGCAGCTCCAGACAACCCCTTGAATTATACCACCTGGGGTGCCCCAGACATTTAGGGACCAGAGAGGGGTAAAGAACACAAAGGGAAAACAGGATGATAGTGAGGGTCCACTGCACCAAGGCCTGAGCTGCAGAACCTCACCCTAACACCCCTGGACAAGCCTACCCCATGGAAGAGCATGAATCTAAGGGATGCCTTCAGGAAACCAAGGCCTGCCCACCAGCATGCTGGTGCCCACCTGGCCCTGCCAGTCCAGGTGTGGGTACTCACCTAAGCCAGGCAAGAGAACTGCTGCCTAGGACAGCCTGATAAGGACTCTGCCTGTCTTCCTTCCTTCCAGTTCTTTATATCCTGTCCCCATCTCCCCATCTCTCCCTGCAGCCAATGAAATTAGTGTTTTCTGTTAGGATTCTTCAATTGCAATGACGGAAACCCTATCCAGACTGACTTACTAATAAAAAGGTTTACTGACTTACGTGATTGCAAAGGCCTTGTTTCAGACATGGCTCAATTGGGGGCTAAAACAATGCTGGGGGTGGGTGGCAAAAATCAACAACTGTCTACCATGCTGGGCACCCTGGGAATGCTTGCAGCCCCGTATGCATTCACACCACACTTTGGCCGGGTGAGTTCTCCAAGGACACAGACCCATTTGGGTTCTGTGACCGTGGCCCGGTGCCCATAGCTCTGTAAACTTTGGTGTAGATTATCTCAATGGGTGGACTAAAGGAAACAAGGAGCCATTTGTCTGGCTGTACCTCTCTCCCATGCACTCTCCTCTCTGGCCACTGGAGGTGGTGCCATCTAATGAGGAAACTGAGCCCCAAGTGCAGCTGCTAGCCTTGCTCAGAGTGAAGTGAGCCTGAAACTTGAATGCCATCCTCCTGATACCTGATCCAGACACTGGCAGGAGCTGCAGGGCCTTTAAGACAGTCTCCTGCAGATTCCTGTGTGTCAGTCTTTCCCCAGTGCCTCTTTGACCTCTCTTAGAGTGGGGTCCCTGTCAGCTACAAGTGGTGACTTTGGGGTTGGAAAAAGCTACTCCCAGCCCACCAAGCTTGCTGTTGAAACCCCACCATCCGTTTCCCCAATGCAGTGTGTCCTCTCTGGGCCGGTTCTCACATATCACATGCAAACAGAGCCTCAAAGGTCAAGTTGGTGCAGATTCTGATTCAGCAGCTCAGGCCCAGATCCCATGGACCATATTGGGACAGTAAGGCCTGCTGTTAACATGTAATCACACTTTGGGGTGGGGTTCACCCAGCACTCTCCCTACATTGGCAGAGTGACCAGGTTTGGGGGAGGCTCAGAGGCGCTTCCAAGAAGGTCTTGTTTGTTTGCAGGCCCTTTCCCTCTGTGGCCTCTCTCAACCACACAGACTGGTTCAGGCTGTTCTGCCTAAGCAGACGGCACAAGGCCAGACAGGTCACAGGGTAAGAGGCAGCTTCCTGAAGACACATCTGGTGCTCTTAGAAATCTAGGTCAGGCAGCCCCACCCCTTCCCCCTGGACTGGTGGCAGGATAGGGGATATCAGCTCTAGTACTGGCCTCTTGTTCACAGCCCCACTCCCCTGGAACCTCCTTTGTCTGGAAACCCTCAGGGTCTAAAGGGCAGGAAAGGGGATGGCCCACAGCTGATCTCAAGCATCACCAGCCTCCTCCACTTGCCTGCCAAAGTGGTCACAGTGTCAGGACCCTGGGCAGGCAGGACAAGCTGTCTGAGTGCCATGTGGCACTACAGGGTCTGGAGCTGGAAGGTGCTGGCTGGGCCCTCAGCCCAGGATTCAGGCCTGTTTCCTTCTCCCAATGGACAGGGTAGAGCTGCTGCTTCCCTGAGCTCTAAGGCATTGGAGTCTTTAAGGACACAAGGACTCAGGGTGGCCAACAACCTTTGGAGAGCTCTCATTCACGGTGACTTGCTTATTGATGTTTGCTGTAGGCCCTACCAGGTGGTAAGGACACAGCTATGAGTGAGATGGATGAGGTCCTGCCTCTCAAGGTTCTTTGGGCATAGAAAGGGGTCAGGCACAGCACTGAGACAGGGCAGGTACCGGGTTCAGGGAGGAGGGGCAGTACTCTGAAGAGCTGAGGTCACAATGACTAGGAAGAAAGGGGTGATATCATTTGGAGAGATGGTGTTAAAGGCAGAAGGAATAGCAAGTGTGAAGGCTCTGAGGAAGGAGCCCTGTATTCTGGAGCAGTGTGGCTGGAGTTGGGGCCAGAGAGTGGTAGGGCCAGCTTGGGGGAGGCTTTCAGGACCAGCCAGTCTGCTCTGCTTTTGAGAGTTTGCCCTAACACTGTGTGCAGAGGGACGGGGAGGAGAGAGTGGAGTTGGGCACTCATGGGGACCCTGTGACCTTGAACTTTCCCTGGAATTCCCAAAGGGGGAGACCACAAAACACTCCATCAAGGCCACCCCTGCAGCTGTTTCTGCCTGTGGAAATGGACAGAAGGCCTTAACTGTCCTCCCTTCTGTCCTCAACTCCTCCTAAAGGGTTGGCCCCTGTTCAGTTATGCTGAGATGTTAAAAAAATATCTAGCCTCTTGGGTGACAAAAGAGGGAGTGCTAGAAAGCAAAATGACTGTTAGGGCTGGATGTTTGCTCCAGGCCAGTGTGTGAAGTTGAGTGATGATCAGTGACCCCAGCCTATGAAGCAGAGAGGGGACCATACTGGCAGGAAATCAGGTCCTCTTGAAGTATAAGCTATGGACCCACCATATGAGCCTGGGAAAGAAGGCACTGCCTGAGACTGTCTCCAAGTCCTAACAGGTTTGTTTCCCTTGAGATAACTTCCTCAGCCAGCCTGTGTCAAGGGTCAGGCCAGCCTCTCTCTGTTTCCAGAGAGGGGTATACCTCTGGGAGCAGATGCAAACTGCTTGCTTTGGCCAGGCAGCACAGGTGCTGGGCCTATCTTGCTGGTGGGTGTCATTGTCAGTCGCATTCTCAGGTAGGGAAGGTCATATGAGGTGCTGGGAGTTGTCCTTAGTCAAGGCCACACAGCTGACCTTTCTTCTTGGCCACCACCCTGCCCCAGGCCAAGGGAGATCAGGGTGCGCAGGATGGACTTCAGTACCTCTGCTCATTGCAGATGTCCCCTTTCCTTAGAATGGAGCTCTATGACTGGCAGGAGCACTGGGCCTGCTGGGCAGGATCCAGGTCTGTCTCTGCTGCCTGGAGGCTTTCCTGCAAGGCCTGGCGAGGACACAGGAACCAACTGTCCTGCCAGCTAAGTTCTCCCACCCACCACTCTCAAATCTGTCCTCCCAACTGTGCACGGATCTATGTCTCTGCCAGAAGTCAATCCTTCTTACAGGCAGCATCAGGTCCCTGGAAGAGGCCTGCCTTGCCCCTTCTCTTGGAAGAGGCAGAGGGACAGGGGAGAGGGTCTGAGGGCCAGGCCCATGTATCTGAGGGGCATTGGAGCCCCTCTGCCACCACCTGCTTGACCATTCCTGAACTGCCCTTGCAGGAAGAACTAGCCCAGAAGGGAGCAGCTCCAAGTGGAAAATGAGGTGGCAGCTGTGGCCCCAGGACATCTGGGGACAGGTGACAGACAGGCCTCCCTTTAGAGTTCAGCAGGGGAGCAATGTTTCTGCAATACTCAAAGGGACGCCTTTACAAGGGTTTAATCAAGTGGCTCCAACCTGTGAGTGTTGACTGTTGGGATTTTCAGAAATCAAGTTTTCTTAACCTTCCAGAAGTCAGGGAGGCAGGACCCCAAGAACCTTGTCCCTCCGTGATGATGGTGTGGGCTCCTGGTGGTGGTAACTGCCATTACTGCCACTGTGGGCTGGCTCCAGGAAAGCAGAGCCAGGTCACACAAGGCCCTCCTAAGGCCAAAGGAGGAACCACCTGAGCCCCGAGAGAGGGAAAGACCGAGCAGAGGAAGGATTTCCTACAACAGCCAGGAGGGCTTCCTGGTGAGGTGGGATTTGGTTACACCTCAAAGGTAAAGGGCTTTATCAGAGAAGCGTGGTCTCCAAGAACCCTGGGGCTCATGCTCTTTTTTTGTTTGTTTGCTAATATAAGACCCCAAAGGATAAAATTTCAAGATGAAAACATAGGGGAAGCACTTCAGAACATTAGTATAGGTGATAATTTTTTGTGTATTATCCCAAAAGCACATCCAACAAAAAAACGAAACAGACAAATGGAATTCCATCAACCTAAAATGCTTCTGCACAGCAAAGGAAACAATCCACAGTGAAGTGACAATCTATAGAATGGCAGAGAATATTTGCCAATTATCCATCTGACAGAGGGTTAATGTCTAGAATAGGTAAGGAACTTGAAAACCAACAATTTTTAAAAAACCCTAAGTAATCCAATTAAAAATGGACAAATGATCTGAATAGATACTTCTCCAAAAAAGAACTACAAATGTCCAAGAAAAATTTTCAATATCAGTAGCCATCAGGGAAGAGCTAATCAAAATTATAATAAGATGGTATCTCACCCCCTTTAGAACAGCTACTATAAAAAAAATCTGGTGAAAATATGGAGAAAAAGAAACTCTCTAGAGTTTAGTACAACCATTTAGAGAGAGCAATGGGAAGCTCTTCACAAAATTAAAAACAGATCTACTATATGACCGAGCAATTCCACATCCACGTATAAATCCAAAGGGAATGAAGTCAACATCCCAAAAAGACAGTGGCACACCCATGTTTATACACAATAGGTAAGATATGAAATCAACCTAGATGCCCATCAATGGATGAATGGGACACTAGGATTTTTGTTAACCATCCTATCCTGTCCTTGACACTAAACATTTGTGAATGAATAAATCAAGTAAGAAATGGGGCTGGGAACACTGAGGCAGAGGGGTAGTAATGAATCAGCCACTGAGCTCTACCCCTGGAACCTCCTCTGTTGAGGCACACTGGATGTTCTCTTCAAGAACAGGGCCAGTGGGAAGGCTCTGCCCAGGGTGGGGGACAGCCCTTCCCCCAGACACTGACTATGAGTTGTCATTTAGTTAGGGACAGGAAGTGCCCATCCCAACTCCCACCAGGCAGAAGTTTCTGGAGAGTTGGTGTCTGGCCTGTTCAAGGGCTTCCTTAGGGATGTCAACCAGAGGAACTGCAGGCCTGGCCTCTCCCCTGCTTCAGTCTGTTCTTGAACACAACCACAAAGAGGTTGTAGGAGGAAGTCCGAGCCACTTAGACTCAACCACCATGACAGAGAACTTAAGGGGCTAGTCAGGGTGGAGTGACTGAAAAGCTGACCCAGTTCTCAGCCAGGATCTGAAGTCTCCAGGCCACAAGTGCAAACCAAGGTGGCCACTTCCGCTGGGCTTAGCTTTGACCTGGGCCTACAGGAAGTGACCTCCCCTGTGGGCTGTGAGCAGGGGAGAGGCCTCCTCTGAATGTGGAGCTCTTCACACCTAGCATCAGCAGGCTCTGTGTTGCTCCTAAGCCTGCCTCCTTAGCCCTTGCCTCTCTCTGCATCCAGCTCCCCATCTGTGAGGGGTCCA